TACATAATTGTAGTAACATATCTTCAACTAAAAGTAGGGGTGAAGTAAGAGCTCAAGTGGGAATAATGACAGCAGAATCATAAATTGATTATGTCCATTTTTGGTTATATCTCCACGGGAGAAGATCAGAGTATGTGAGGGAAACTAGCCAAGTCTCTCTGAAGATAATCCCTAACAACTGAAAACCTCACAACTTGCAGTATAAGCTTTTTTTTTTTCTTTTTTTAAAGAACTGTCAAGTTAAAAATAAAAGAAAGTAACTATTGATTTTGGAAAGCAGAGATTATCATGGGTGGGAGTGGTGAACAAGGAGACTGTCTGGATTTAGGTGATCTTGTTTTATTTCCAGACTCTTTCAATTCCATGCATATATATATATAATTAATAAAACTGAAATTAAAAATTGAACTGTGAGCGGGAGATGATGCATTGAGGGGGAGCACATGACATTCAAGGACATTTGATGGGAAGAGAGATGGATCTGTAGCTGGAGGGGGATGGGGTGGAGGAGCTTTTAAGATCTATCTGCATGCTGCTGATGGGAATGAATAGTATTTAGTATTGATTAGTATTTAGATGGCAAGGAGTGATATAGGAGAGAGAAAGGGTATGTACAGGGGTAAAGAAATGAGGGTGAACAAGAAAGAGGGCATGGGGTCCAGGACAGGGGACCAGGGTGGGCACATTTCCCATGTAGTTTCTCCTACAGTCTATGTGAAACAAGCAGCAGAGATACTGGGAGGCTTGAGGACATCGAGGTGTGATGTAGTCATGTTAATGAGAGCAGAACCACCAATTTCTTAGCGCAACACAGGAGGATTGTATTGTTTATGAGCTTCTGTAATGCAGGCGTTCCTTTTGGATTTTTGCACTGGTATTTACTGCACGTTCAAATCATAAGTTTGGGTCAGGTCTGCTTATACTGGCTTCATAAAAATTTTGTGCAAGCCTGCCTTCCTGGGCAAGTGCCCAGGCCTCTGGCCAGCAGTCAGCTGCTTGATTAGGGGCTGGGATCAAAGCGGACCCTGCCTTGCAGTCAAGACACAGGCAGGGTGTTCAGGATTCCTAAGTACCCGGCCTGGGGCCAGCACTTAACATCCCATTTAGAACATTCAGGAAATCAGATACAACCAACCTATAGACCTCAGGAGGGGGAGAAACTTCCTTTTCAAGATGAGTCTGCACATTAAAATTTTGAAACACTTGAGGAAAATAATAATAGTAGTAGTAGTAGTAGTGCTAGCAAATGTAAAAGCAAGGGAATTTGCTCCATAGATCTGAAAATATTTTTTGAAAAGGAAAAATTCTGGAGTGGACACAATTAAGGGAAGAATTGTGTTGGGTTGTTGGAAAAGTCATGATGCATTTTTGCATAGAAAATGGAAAAAAAGGGGGCCTCCCTGGTGGCGCAAGGGGTTAAGCATAACACTGTGAAGCAATCTGAGACCTCTGTAGCACAAGGGGTCGGCCAGGGAGCAACCCACATGGCGCAGCAGACCTCTCCTGTCTCGCCCGCTGCTCCCCTCAGCAGTGTGTTTCAGTCTGCCTGTTCTGATCCCACTGTCTCTGGTGAATGCTCTCGCCATCACACTTCTGGCCTGTACCCAGCTCTTGTATGCATAAATAAATAAATCTTTAAAAAAAGAAAAAAGAAAATGGAAAAAATATGTCATGACTTTTCTGACAGCCCAATAAATCTGAAGATTCTTTTGGGGAATTTGAGTTGTGGAATTTGCTTTGAACACAGCAAGGCAAGATAAAAATGTGAAAAGGGTTTAAAAAGTTTTGAAATGTTAATGGTTGAGAAATTTCCAGCCTTGAAGAGACTGTAAATCCAGCAGTATAAATAACTATAGATCCACATACAGGCACATTCTATTGAATCGGCAGAATCCCAAGATAAAGGGAAAATTATAAAAGAAAAAGACATTACCTACAAAGGATTGACAAGTGACAGTAGCACTCCCATTTACAGCAATAACAGCCTAAAGACTGAAGAAAATCTTCAAAATGCTAAGACACACAGCTTAAGTCTAGACATTTTATATCCTAATAGCCACTATTCAAGAATGAGGGCAAAATGAAGGTATTTTCAGACATACAAAGACAGATCATTTGGTACCAATAAAGCTTCACTGAAAGAACTACCGTAGTACTTAACTTCAGCAAGAAGGAATGTAACGCAAGGAAGCAATGACAGAGAAGTAGGCACTATACATATATGGGCACTAAAGACCAGACTATGTAACAGCCATGAATGCTCTAGGATTCAGAAAAGAAGATAAAGGACAGCAATGACAGACACCTTAGAAAAGGTGGATTTTGAACTTGATCTGAATAGCAGACACCATCTATTTGAAAGCAACAGGAACTCTTTTGTTCCAGGTGGACAGAAGGTGAGAGAGGCCATGTGTGAAGACTTAAATGGGGTCCTTGTTTTGTTCTGCTTTATTCTTTTTTTTTTAGCATTCAGGTTGTTTATTGTTTATTATTTATATTTTTGCAAGCACGTTTCATAGGTGGTATTCAGAGATTTCTATTTTATCACACCTGGAGGCACATGATATCTGGTGGTCCTGCTTTTAATGATACCAACATTTATCATGACTAAAGTGGAAAAATTTCCTCCATTTAATGAGTTCATTTATTGATGACTATTCTTAATTAGCAAGGGGAGCTGGTCTCCTTGAGGAAAGGCACTGATTTAAGCAAGGTCATTGCTGACTTTCCCAAATGCTTCACTCAGTACATCAAGTGAGTCACCATGGACTGTCCATTTTACCTCCACTCTTTCACAAAGGCCTGTTTTCTCCTCTGCACTTTTGTAAGGGGCCAGAGTCATCTTCCAGTAGTTTCCCCACTCTGCAAAGCCAGCGTTCCACCTGTTAGCCTGTGGGATGCCCATGATGTTTGGTTAGGTGGTTACAGTGGGGAAAAGTTTTTGCAGAGCAAGGTATGACCTGAGTCCATTTTCAGGTAAAAATAAATGACAAAATAGCAAAAAAAAAAAAAATATCAGCACATGTTTTAATAGCACTGGATCCTCTCACTTGAATAACTCCATGTCCATAATAGCCAACAGACTGACCTACCTCAGTGGTCAGCCTTGCACCAGAGCCAGTTCTCTTTAAAGATACTAGGAAGGGGGCACATCTTCATGCTATCCTAACAATGGTTTTTTTCCCCAAGTGTAATACAGAGAATGTTTATGTTCAGAAAACTCAGATATTTCAGGTAGATTTTGTTTCAGTCATGGCTGGATCCAGGTGCTCACCCAAAGACTCTCTATTTCCCTCTCAGTTGGATTCAGTCCCAACTTTCTGTACATAACAAAGGGGCCACTAGTGACTAGACATATCAGCTGATCCCCAGAAAAGAAACTGTTCTTACCAAGAGCTTCAACCAAAGTCTCACAGATGCTTCTGAATGGCCTTTGGTCACCTGCCCAGAGACAGGGTGGGATGGGGAAGACATCATTACTGGGTATAACTGAGTCATGCCCATTTCTGGGCACTGTTACCCTGCCATTCTTTTTTGGGAGGAGGGAGGTTAATAGCTTTATGGAGGTAATTCATACATAGCTCACCCACTTAAAGTGTACAATTCGATAGTTTTTAGTATATTCACACAGCTGTGTGTGCCACCATCACTGAGATTAAGTTTAGAACAATTTCATCTGCCAAAAAGAAACTCCCGTTAACTGTCTGCACAAAGTTCACCATCACCCCAGTCAAACATGAATCTATTTCCTTTCTATGAATTTGCCTTTTCTGGACATTTCATATACAAGGAATCATAGAGTATGTCATCTTTAAGAACTGAATGGAAACAACCCAAATGTCCAAGAATAGATGACTGGATCAAGAAGATGTGGTACATATACACAATGGAATATTACTCAGCAATCAAAAAAGATAAACTCATGCAATTTGCAGCAACATGGATGGAGCTGGAAGGGATCATGCTCAGCGAAATAAGTCAGAAAGAAAAATACCAGATAGTTTCACTCATAGCAGGAATTTAGAAAACCTAAATAAGGGACCAGGAAAAAGACTATTTCTAATAAAGTGAAAATCAAAATCAACAAGTAACTATAAACTAGAGACACACTACAGGGTGGGAGGAGGGAGTAGGATCAAAACAAGGGGGGTGGGAATTGTATGGGGACTATAACCAAGATGAAAATGCGTACATTGTGCAAAAATGAAAAATGATGTAAAAAAATTTATATAAAATTTAAAAAAATGGGCCTCCCCTGGTGGCACAGCGGTTGAGCCTCTGCAGCACCGGTTCAATCCCCAGCTGCCAACGAGGATCCCACATGGCGCACAGACCTCTCCTGTCTCGTCTGCTGCTCCCCTCAGCAGTGTATTTCGTTGGTCTGCCTGTTCTGTTCCCCGCTCTGGTGAATTCTCTCACCCTCCCACGCTTCTGACTGTACCCAGTGCTTATATAAATAAATAAAATTTAAAAAAAAATTTAAAAATTAAATTTAAAAAATGAAAAAAAAAAAAAAAAAAGAACCGACATGTCACAGAGCCTGCTTTCAAGGTTCATTCATGTTGTTCTGTGTTACTGTGCTTTTAGGGCCCTTGCAGAATCTTAAATGGTCCGCTGGCTCCTGCTTACCTTTCTGTCCTCATAGGCTGTTGAATTCCATGTGAAGCACAAGCCATTTAGACCCTGTGTATTTGGAGAAGGGCCAGAGGTGATGTAAACCTATGGACTTGGTTAAGAAATAGGATCAGTGAGCAATGCATTTGTTATTTCAGTTTCCCCAAAAGGTCATCCTCGATTGTTAAATAAGGGTTGTTAAAACTGCTTGCTTCCAAAGGAATCAGTAATTGTGAGTTTTACCTTTGGTTAGAATAGGCCCCGGGTTTTCTGGAGTAACCCCAGTTGTAAAGCTCACGCCTTGTGCGCCTTCCTGTCACAACCTTAGATGCCCCAGTTCTGGTTTGGAAGGCACTGTCACCAAGTGGCTGTTCTCTCCTCTGCAGGAGAGTGAAGAGGAGCTCTACTCCTCCTGTCGCCAGCTGCGGAGGCGGCAGGAGGAGCTCAACAACCAGCTCTTTCTGTACGACACGCACCAGAATTTGCGCAATGCCAGCCGGGATGCCCTGGTCAAGGAGTTCACTGTCAATGAGAACCAGCTCCAGCTGTACCAGGAGAAGTGTAACCGGAGGTGAGCCAGCCACCCTCAGCTGCGAACCCTCCCTCTGGGTCAGGTTCCTTCAGGCAGGTCGGGTACAGGGGATCCAGGCTTCAGGAAAGTATCTCCCTGCCCCACCCTTCCCCAGTCTTGAGAACTCCTTCTGCTGATCCTCTTGACTCCATTGTCTTGGCTCTGTGCGTGAGCTCTGGCAGTGTCTTAAGTATGCACCTCCCTAAGCAGACCTGTCATCACTAGAAGGGCACATGTAATGGGATGTTGGGGGTCAGCCTCATCCAGGGGTGCCCACTGTCGTGCATTATGCAGGGAGCCGAGCTCAGCGAACAGCAAGCCTCTGGTGGAAACTGTGCTGACCTCCTTCCCACAGCAGCTCATTTAGTCTTTACTTTAGCCTGCAGAGTAGCAGCGACCCCAGCGTAGTGACCTGCCAGGAAATGGAGCCTGAGAGAGGCTGAATGTCTTTCCAGAAGCCTCCCTCTTTGACTGTCAGCCCCTATATCATTCAGCCACGTGAGACCTGCAAAAATGTTCAGACTGAGGCGTGTCAGCTCATGGCCCACATGTCAGCCTCATGAATGATGGTGGCATCTGTCTTGTTTCAGGTTGAGAGAGAAGAGAGTCAGCAACAGCAAGTTTTACTCGTGAAAGCTGGGGTACATTGTGTGTGTGCGTGTGTTTGCCCCCAAAACGGACTCTGTTCAGACCCTGGAATGTGCTAATCTGTGACGTCATCCTCTCCAAGCCTGACAGCAAGATGGCATCGCTGAAGGAGACCCAGCTGGCCTGAGGCAGGGTGGTTTCTTTCTCATTTTTTCATCTAGGACAATTTCTTAACTTATGTTCTTGATAGAGGGTTTCCAAAATGCTCCTCGTTTTGGTCTCTCGTATTCCCAAACCTCACTGAATAAAAGCAGTGAAAATCTCAAGTAATTAAACTTTCTGTGCATGACCTGTACAGCAAGCAGGATTCCTTTTCCAGCCTCAACTGACCCAGGTAATTGACTCCATGGAAGTTGAGCCCAGTTCATTAGATTCTGAGATTTTAAGGGAGAAGGCTTTTAACAAAAAGGCAGATGATTCCATGGTTCAGGCCACCAGATCACACCAGGCCTCTCACTGCCACATCTGCCCAGCTTCCCTGTCCCAGGTCAGTGGGCTCAGCTCAGTGCACTTTAACTACCACCGGCTGGATAGCTGGCTAGACAGACCTGCTGCAATGTGTGAGAAGTGAGAGGAGGTTAGGGATGTGGTCTCTGTTCATTAAGACAACTTCCAGTTCATGGTAGACTTGCTTTGTTACTGGGGTGGGGATGGACATCCTGGGACCTCTCTGATTTAAAGAGCCTATCAGAGAGACCCACAGAAGGCTCAGTCAGCTTCTTCCTTACCCCAGCCCTGCCCCCTCATGAGCTGGCTGTGCACCACAGCTGGGGAGACTTAGGACCTGCAGCTCTCTGCTCTCCAGAGACATGAGGTCATTTACCCATCAAATGAGGCGATCAAAGGTCGGCTCCACAGGGAAGTTTCTTGGCATCTCCCAGTTTCCTGGAAAGCAAGCTGAGCCTTAGGAGGCTATAGAAAATCTCAGATGCAGCCATGCCTAGAGGGGATGTCCTCCCCTAGGACCAGATAATATGCCTCTACATCCTGAGACACAAGCAATGCTTTGTGCAGTGATAATTTAGTAATGCTCTGTAAAGGCAAGGACGCTGCTGTGGGGAGTAAGCAGTAGAATTGCCATTTGCTGTGAGTGAAGGGGGAACTGACTTGGAGGGCAAAGATACTACTCAGAGAAAATTGCAGTAGAAAAGAAAAGTCTTATCTTTACTCGGATGACAGTGGCTCCCAGCTGCCCAGCCAGCCCTCCCCAAGCTGCCCTGGGCTAAGAGCATGCTTGTACTGCTGAGAGCACACTCAGACCAGCCAGAGCACTCTCAAACCAGTGGGCTCTGTCTAAGGTCAAGACTTAACCCTTCATTCCACAAGTGTATGGGGCACCTGAATGCAACGCACACTGGGGGTACAATGCTAACAAGTAAGGTGGCTCCTGTCTCATGGAACACAACACACCCATGTGCTTCTAGAAAAAATGCATGTTACCACTCACGAAGCCAGGATTGTAGGGGTCAGCTGCTTGATCAAGACGGGGCTGTTATCCTGAAACATTACTTAGTTCCTCCTCAAATTGGAGCTGCTGTTTTGTTTGGCAGTCAGCAACTGGGCAGCAACACTTTTGATGGCAGCAGATGTGCAAAGCAATGTTCAAGAGAGGTTAGATTTCAAAAGACACAGAACTGCATCTGCAGGGAAGTTTTTCAGACTCTAGCCACTACCCTATTGGCTGTGTGCCAGGTAGCCACTGGAGCCTAATTATTACAGTTCTACTCCCAGTCCCTTCTGACCCCATCAGTCCCTCTACACAGAAGAGCTCAGATTTTGCTGTTTTCAGTTCAGGGGTGAGTAAAAAACATAAACCTGCCCACTTCACTATTTCAAAGCCAACGAGCCAAGGCCTGGATCCCCTTCCCAATGGAAAGGATTTTTTACTACACTGTCAAATTGAGAAGTGATGGCACAGAAGGCAGAAGCTAAGCATCTTTTCAGCCACTACCCTGTAATATTCATTCCCAGCCACACCTCTGCTGAGCAAGACAGGGTTGGGGGGAGGAAGGGCTACACTAAAATGATGCTGGAAGAGCTCTCTCCCTAAAGCTGTGTCCTACTCGGTGCTATAGGGACTTGAATCCACCATTAGAAACTATTTGCTTTGGCTTCTACATTCGTCCTTGATAGGATAACACCTTACTCTTCACAGTGGGTGGAAGGATTCTCTCAGAAAAAACAGACAAGGAAAGCAAAGGGCATGAGTGATATTACTGCTCTTCCCAGAGTAGGCTCAGAGGCCACCTCACCTGAGTATAAGATAGCAGGTGCAACTGTGGTTTATCTTTCCCGTCATAAGTACAGTCAATTCAGGTCAAGCAGGATTGTGACAGGAACATTCTGAAAAGTTACAGCAACTTTAATGGAGTCAAACCTGATTGTCTATGAACTACCCTGTGTGTGTTCACCATTTCCCTAAGTAAATTATTGACAACAATAGTCATTACATGGAAGAGCTAAGGAGGGAACTTGGTTAGAGCATTTGAGTTTGGGGAATTTAGGTGACACAGTTAAAAAATTATTGTGAAACTTGAATTCTAACAGGCACAGTGCAGAGGGGCATGAATGCCCTGATCAAACACCCAATATTTTTCTCAGAGTCCTTTTGCCAAGACTATGTTTTGGACTGGTACACTGCAGAACACATTTGGTGACTTGTTGCTATATTAAGAAGGCAGCCAGCAACATAATCTACTAATGTATATCTGTTGGACTGAACTAAATATAACCTAAACTTAAGTCACCAACACCAGTGGTCTTGAAATGAGTTAGCCATCCCCTGGCTGTCCACCATAACTTCCAGGGAGAACACAGGCTCGAATAGTCTTAGAGGATCAGTTTTCAGATCCTCTCCTCCCTAGTCTTGCTGGAGAACAAGACTCCAGGTGTCAGACTCAGGATATGTGTGTTTGAGAGGTGAAAGCAACTTAACAGCAGGCTACAAATCCTTTTACGGTTCTGAAGGTTCCCAGTTTTTCACTTTGAACTACACTGAGGAAACCCTCAAGATTTTGGAATATTTTTGTGTGCAGTTATAAGTGAGTTGGGAGTATTATGTTATCTTGCTATCACAGAGCCCCTCTGTTCCCTGTCTGCATAACTATGTCTGCAGAACAGGAACATAAAATTGAAAAGGGAGATTCAAATAGATGCTTTGTTGGCCCATTCTAACAAAGATGGTGTTAAGCTACTTGGAGATGAAATAATTGGGGGAGAAGCCATCTTTTCATTAAATGATATATTGCCAAAGCAATTTTACTATGCTTATAATTTATTTAAATTTCTATTGTGTTTATTGATCTCACTCAGTCCAGAAGCATATTTTAACTGTGTAGCCACCTTGTGATTTTAGGGTATTATAAATTTTTTTACAGGTATACAGTTAATATAAAAGTCAAAAATAATTAGCCTGAATTCTTGAGGGGGAAGGAGAATAAAAATCCAAATTCAAGGAGAAAAGGAAAAATGTGGCATTGCTTACCATTAAGACTTGCCTTGTTCATGTCATTTTTTGGAAAAGATAGTGTCTGTCAAATAACTACTGTATATTTGGAGACTTGGCTAAATGTAAAGTGGAATATAATGATTTAATTGAAGATGCAGTTTCTATAATATGCCAACACGTCCTTTGTAGCTATTTATGATGAAAAATTTCAGACATCAATTTAGTAACATGCATGAGGATGCCAGGTTTTTAAAATTTGCTGTGAAAGTTTCTGAGCATAAAAATTGTAAGATTGCTGGTATTGCCACTAAGTGATGCCTTACTTGTTTTTGGAAGAAGGAAGAATTGCTGAAAGCGGTCTTAGTCTTTTTAACTTATTAAAAAATATAACTTAGCTTTCAACTTAGGTGACATCTAACTTTTTGGAGACAACCCTAAAAGCTATTTTGTAACTAACAGAAAGTTAATAATTACATTAAAACACATGTAGAATTACAAAATTGGCATTTTAAAATTATGCTTTGATTTGTTTCAAGCTTTTTATTTTCAAAATATTTTCTTTTTGAAAAGGCTTATTCCTGTGATTCTGGCTCTCAGAAATGTCCACATTTCTTATTTTTCAATAGGCTTTAAAAAATTGCATTTGTAAACTTGTTTTTCGTTATTAAAGCTTAACTTATTTTTTATGTAAATAATGGTGTGCTTGTGTGTATTTAGCGATTGATGTGAATGAGTCACACAAGTGTTGGTTATTGGTAAGTGGCTGTATCACAATTTTAATACAATAAAAATTTGGTCTGAAAGAATACAGCAATTTCCCACAACTTTTAAAATGCTGCTTATACCTTTAATTAATTCCATTTAAAACAAGAAAGACATACTTCAGCCAGGAGATTTATAAAGCTAAACATTTTTTTAAATGTGTTTTTCTCAAAAGTCTCAAACCAGATGGTTCTACAAGTAACTTTTATCAAACCTTTAAAGAAAATATATGCTCCTTTTAGTCAAACTATTTCAAAACACTGAAGAAGAGGGACTACTTCCTAAAACATTCCATGATGCCAACAATACCCTAATCAAAACCAGACAAGGACATAACTTAGTACAGGCCAGTATCTCTGAATATAGATGCAAAAATTCTGAACAAAATACTAGCAGATCAAATTCGACAATACATTATAAGGCCCATTCACCATAACCAAGTAGGACTTTTTCCAAGGATGCAAGATGGTTTAACTTACAAAAATTAATGTGATACATTACATCAGCCAAAGAATGGATAAATATCACATGATAGTATCAATAAAGAGTAATCACTCCATAAGATCTAACACCCATTTATGATGAAAACTTTAACAAAGAGAGACTAGAAGGATCTTACCTTAACATAAGAAAGGTCATGTATCACAACCTAGAGCCTAAAATAAACAGTGAGAAAATGAAAGCCTCCCCTTCAAGTAACAAATCAAGGATGTCCACAGTCATCACTTCTATTTAATATAGTATTAAAAGTTTTAACTAGAAAAATCAGACAACAGGAAATAAATCCAAGTTGGAAAAAAAGTGAAATTATAATTTTTTACAGATGATACCACATATAGAAAATTTTGAATTTCAAACACCTAAAAATAGTAAATAAATATAATCAAGTGACAGAATACCAAATTAACACACAAAAGTCTGCTGCATTTTTCCATACAAATAACAAGAAAAAAATTAATGAAATTAATTTATAATTGCATTTAAAATAATTAAATACCTAGGAATTACTTTAAGCAAGGAGGTAAGGAATATGTGTAATGTGAATTCTGATTAAAGAATGGGCAGCAGATATGAACAATTTCCCAGAGAGGATATATAGAAGGTCTACAGATACATGAAAAAGATGATCATCACCTCTTCTAATAAAGAAAATGCAAATCAAAACCAAAATGAGACATCATCCAACACCTATGAGAATAGCATACATAAAAAAATACTCCCATGTTCCCAGATTTCAAATTATACTGCAAATAGTAATTGAAACAGTATGGTAATGGAATAAAACCAGACAACACAGGTCAATGGAACAGAGAACCTAGAAATAAGCCCACACTTACATGGACAGTTAATCAATGACAGAGGAGCCAAGAACATACATTGGATAAAGGAAAGTCTACTCAGTACAACTCAAAATGGATCAAAGACGTGGATGTAAGACCCAAAACTAAAATTCATGGAAGAAAATATAGGCAAAACACTCAATGACTTAGGCTTCAGGGATATCTTTAGGGACTTGACCACAACAGCCAGGTAAGCAAAAGCAAAAATAAACTTAATTGGTACTAAATTAAACTAAAAAGCTTCCGCACAGTGAAATAAACTGTCATTATAACAAAACGACACCCTATTAAATGGGAGAAAATTATTGCACATCTTAAATCTGACAAGGCACTAATATCCCAAATGTAAAAAATCTACAAGCAACTCATGCAACCTACCTCAAAAAATAGAAAAGTTAAACAGACACTTCTGCAAAGACATACAGAAGGCCAACAGAACTATGGGAAAAAATGCTTATCACCACACCATCAGCGGAATGCAAATCAAAACCACAATAAGATATCACCTCACACCTCTGAGAATGCCTTTATCAATAAAATGAGAAACAATACACGTTGTAGAGAATCTTGGAAAACAATATGGAGTTTTCTTAAAGCATTAAAAAGTAGATCTGCCATATGATTCAGAAATCCTTCTCCTTGGTGTGTGTCCCAAGAATACAAAAATATTAATTCAAAGGTGTATATTCACCTCTATGTTCATTGCAGCATTATTTACAATAGCCAAGCTATGTAGACAGCCTAAGTGCCCATCAACAGATGAGTGGATAAAGAAGATGTGGTATACAAACTGAAAAATTACCACTTAAAAGTTGATTATAGATCTGAAGAATCTAGGGGGGAAGAAAGGAGGGGCAAGAACAAAATGGGAAAGGAACACAATGGAATATGGTGATGGACTACAGGTGCTTTGAGGGAAGTGCACTATGGAATAACACATGACGGGGAGGACTCTGTACTCCCAAAATACAAACAATGTTGTAAACCAACATTACCTCAATTAAAAAACAAAACATAAAATATCACACTAGCATTTTTAAATAAAAAGTGAAATGTATACCAGAAACTTAAATAATGTTATAATGCAATATACTTCGATAAAATTAAAAAAAAGATGTGTTATATATACCCAGGTGAATACTACTCATCGATAAAATAAAAAGATGAAATCTTGCCATTTGTAACAACATGGCTAGAACTGGAGGGGATGGTGCTAAGTGAAGTCAGAAGGGAAAAGGATTAAAAAGACTAAAATACAGGATTATTTCCACCCATATGCAGAATATGAAAAACAAAGGAACAGAAACAACTGAACCAAAATATGTAGAATTGAGGCTACTGGGGGTAGGGGGGTTGGCAGCAAAGTGGGGAGGGGGCTCAATGGACTTTGGTGGTGGATTCTTGTTGCATTGGGGTGGGTCTATTGTGAACTTACATCCCTAAAACATACGAAGTGCTCTAAATCAATGTTACCAACCCTCACTTTGTGTGTGTGTACATATACATACACAGATATATGTATGTACATACGTATGTATGTATGCATCTATATGAGCCCCTCGCCCCCAACAACAAGTATTGGAAGGGATGTGGAAAAAAGGAATCCTAATACATTGTTGGTGAAATATAAATTGGTGCAACTATTTTTGAAAGCAGTCTGGACCCATTTTAAAAAACTAAAAACAGAGATACCATATGATCTGGTAATCCCACTTTTGGGTATCTACCCAAAGAACACAAAATCATCAATTTGAAAAATTATATGCTCTATGGTTTATTGTGGCAATATTTACAACAGCTAAGATATGAAGTCAACCTAAGTGCCCACTGATAGAAGATTGGAGGAAAAAGATGTAGTATATATCACTTATAGTGGAATGCTATTCAGCTATAAGGAAAGATGAAATGTTAACTATTGATGGCAAGATGGAAGGAACTGAGGGGGTTATGTGAAACAAAGTAAGCCAGAAATATCAAGATAAATACTGGGTGATTTTGCATACATGAATAGTCTTAGGAAACAAAAAGTATGAACTGACAAAGCAAAATAATCATAGATAGTAGACACTGATAACTCATTTGAGGGTTCTGAGGTGAAGAGGGAGAGAGATGGGAGAATGGTCAACAAGGTATTGCAAATGTGTTTTTCTAAGTAATTACACTTTTCTCTAGGTTACTGGTCTATCTTATTTTCAGTAGAACCTCACTGTACCCAGAAACACAAGTTTATATGAAATTAACACATGACTGCTCTTCAATTTGTCAGTCTTTCGAAGAAAGCAATGTGCTTAACTAAGGGATGGGGCATGCTAGTCACCATGTTTTCTTCCACAATCCCAGGTGACCAGGGAGCCATATTGTGTATCCTCCAATTGCTTCTACCCTCAGCCACAGATGATTGGGTTAGTCACCCTGGTCCACAATCTTAAGAATAGTCTATGATAACAAACCCCTGCATCAGAAGAGGAACCAGGTCCTAAAATGTAATGAAGGATACAAAAAGATCATTAAAAAAAATGCATAGTCATAAGTCTCAAACATATAAACTGAAGATGTGTCAAAAATTAATTCAACCTATTAGTTACTGAGGGAACCAACAAAATGTTACAACTAATTTAGGGGAAGAACCGGTGAGTAGTATATATAATAGGCTATCAGCTGTCCAGATGATCTAATTCTGGATTTTTCATGGTCTCAGTAGTTAAGATGTATCTTGTCCCTACACATACAAAAGTGTCCCGTGGAGGTTCAGTTGAATATTGACCAGTTTTGTCTCTGCTAAGCAAACTAATTTCATCATTATCAGTGACTATAAAATCTTATCCCTGCCTTATTACACCACATTCAACACACACACACACACACACACACACACACAAGTCTAGTTAGATTACAGATCAAAATGTAAAAGATAAAATTATAATATTTCTAGCAATATTCATAAGCTTGGAGAAGGGAAAAGCTGCTTCAACAAAAAACCAAAGCACTAAGCCTAAAAGATGACTGATAATTAGACTCCACTAACAGAGCACAACACAGCACAACAGGTATTGATCAAAAGATACAATTAGAAGAGTGAAAAGGCAAACCATAGTGTGGGAGAAGGTATTTACAATAGTGAGTCTAACAAAGAACCTCAGTCAAAATATGACTCCATCCCTCCAAGTCAATAAAAGAAAAGCAATCCATTAGAAAAAAGGCGGGGGGCATATTTCATGACTAAGCACCTCACAGGAATATATCCAAATGACTGATAAGTGTAAAAAAAGTGCTCATTCATTATTCAGAAAAGAAAATGCACATATAAATGACAATGAGATATCATTATACACTTATCATGTAGCAAAAATTACACAGCTAGACACCACCAACAACAACTGTTGGCAAGAATGTAGAGC